TGGATGGTGGTGATGGTTACACAACGTGAATGTATTTAATGCCACTGAATTGTATATTTAAAAATGGTGAACATGGTAAATTTTATGTGTATTTTACCACAATTAAAAAATGTACCAAACACCCAATTATTTCCTCCCATCAAGCCTTTGCTAGGATACCCTTCCCTCTTCTCCCTTCCCCATGTCCACATATTATCCACTCTCAGGGACTCAACTCCCCTCGTCCAGGAAGCCCTCCTTCACTACCTATAGCATAATCCTGCCGTAACCCACAATGTAACGTAGCACAGTTTCCTCAAGGCTGCCTCTTCCCAGCTCGTCTGTGAGCTCACAGAAGCCAGGACATCTCCTCCTCACCTTGGGTCTCGTCCTGCCCACCCCAGTCGCCTAGCACTATGCATTTACCTTCATGCTGGCCACTGCCAATGTGTTCTTCAGCCGGTACTTCCCATCCTTCTGGGGATACGTGTACAGGAGCACATCGCTCATCTGGGGAGAAGGGAACCCCATCAGACATGTCTTGGCCCCAGAAGGCTGTGCGGCCTTCTGTCCTGTCCTGGAGGATCACTGAGCACTGGGGCAGAGGCATCCCACAGGAGAGCAAAACCACCCTGGGCTAAAACGTGAGCCCCTTTCCCACAATTCCACTCCCAGGGGAACCCTCAAAAGCAATACATGCAGATGCCCACATAAAGTCAAGTACAGGGATGTGCACAGAGGCATTATTTGTAATAGCCAAAGAGTAGAAACAACCCAAACATCTACCAACAGGTGAATGGATCCACAAACTGTGGTGCCTCCATACTGTGGAATACCACACAGCAATCAAAAGGAATGACCCAACGGCACACATGACAACAAGGATGAATCGCAAAACATGCTGAGTGAAAGAAGCCAGACACAGAGGAGCACACACTGCTTGATAATATTCATATGAAATTCCAGAACAGGCGAAACTAATCTGTAGTGATAGAACTCAGGCCAATGGTTGCCTGGGGTGAGGGTGGGGGCAAGTGACTGCTAAGGGGCACAGGAGAACTTTCTGGGGGGCTGGAAACGTTCTACGTCTTGATCCAGGTGGTGGTTACATGACGATATAGATTTGTCAATACACACTGACGTGTACACTTAAGATTGATGCATCTTACTCTGTATAAATTAAGCCTCTATAAAGCATAGTTAAGGAAAGAAGGGAGAGAGGGAAGAAGGCCCCTGAGGATAAGGAGCTGGTGGGTCCTGTCTACTGCTGTACCTCCAGTGACATACAAGCAGGTGCTCATTATCTGCTGAATGAACAACGGAAGCCCTCCAGCCCCATGAGGGTAGACAGGAAGAAATGTGATGAAAGTCTCTTAGAAGAGAGGGTTTCTGTTTGGCTAAAAGATTTACAGTTTGAAAAGATGACACCACACTCTGGGTGGTCTGTGGGCTGTCAATCCTGACCCTGTTCTGTCGCTGCTGTGTGACTATGGACAAGCTGTTTCCCTCTCTGAACCTCAGCTTCCTCACCTGTGAAATTAAGGCCATCCATCTCTGCCCCTACCTCATTACGGAAGCTGAGAGAGAATGGCCCCGAGTGAGCCCTCTATGCGTGGGAGCCAATGTAAAGTAGGGGTGTTATGAAGACTCAGCTGGACATGGAATGTAAGGGTCTGAAACAGGGTGAGAACTCAGGGTTAACATTTCCTCTTCCTGTAGACAGAGTCTGCTGAGGGAACAGAATGGATGAGTTTTCCTGCTACCAGTGCTTCTTGGGTTCCCGACATCCCAGCTAGTGCAGTGCGGAAGACCTGGCTGGGACATTGAGTTGCTGTGTGACCTCAGGTAAACCCTTCTTGCCTCTGGGCCTCACTGTCTCTAACTCAGCAGTTCTCAACCTGTGGGTCGCGACCCCTTTGGGGGTCGAATGACCCTTTCACAGGGATCACTGGGTACTCGTATGTGGGCGTATCTGCATGTGGGCCTGGAGACGGATAGAGGCGCGGTGTCTCGGTTCCTAAGACCATCGAAAATATGTGTTTTCCGATGGTCTTAGGCGACCCCTGTGAAAGGTTGAGAACCGCTGCTCTAACTGGAGTTGGAGTACCAGGGGCCAGCAAATGTTTTTGTAAAGGACTAGATATAAATAATTAAGTCCTTATGGGCCATACGGTCTCTGTTGCAACTATTCAACTCAGCTGTTGTTGCCCCCAAGCAGCTACAGATGATCCATAGATGAATGTGTGAGGCTGTGTCCCAACTGACCTTTAGTAACAAAAACAGGTGGCAGGCTGACCCCTGGATTAGGGGAGACTTCCAAGGCCCTTCCAGCTCTGCTCTTCTAATAATGACAAGAGCTAGTCTCCACTGGACAGTCACTCTGTGCCAGGTGCTAGGCTAGGCGCCTGACAGGAATGATCTCAATTCATGCCTCTAACAATCCCATCAGACAGGCACTATCATTATTACCCCCATTTCACAGAGGGAAAAACTGAGGCACAGGTTGGCTAAACAACCTGCCCGAGGTCACAGAGCTCACAGGTGGCAGAGCCAGGGTGGTAAGTAAATGAGTATGCCTCTAGTGTGTTCAGGCGTGGTGTGTTGGAGGGTGGCCACACAGTTAAGTCCTGGCCCCATTTGGCGACAGTGACCAAACCCCAGCACAGGGCCTCGCTCATGAGCCCACCCTGAGGAATCCACCTGTGTCACTTACCAGAGCAGTCCCAGCCTTTTTGTGGCTGCCCGTTGAGCACCTGCTGCCATGCAATGGCCATTAGCACCCTGAGGTTTCAGGACCAGCTGCCTCCTAATTGCCCGTGGTTCTCCTTTCCTCTCCAAAGCTATGTGTTTTACAGCCCCAGTTTGGAGGAAGGAAGACAAATTCTTGATGGAGTAAGGGGGAATTTCTCACAACGAGGCCCCAGTGGGCAGCTCCACCCAGCGCTCAGGGCAGAGGGGAAGTGGAGGCCAAGGTGGGAACCCCTGTGTGCTGGTGGGCAGATGCCCTGAGTTATTCTGCAGTTAAGCTTATTTTATGAAACTGGCACCTTATGAAGAATACAATGTCTTCCTTCAGTGTGTTTTCTGTGGTGCTCAAGAACCTGTCCGTGTATCCTCCTGCCATCTATCCCTCCGGTGGATGTTATTAACACCTACTCAGTGGAGGACGCTGCGCTGAGACAGAGAGAGGGGGACCTAGGTTCAGACCCTGGGAGGCGTGTGGACTAATAATGCCAAGAAATCAGAGAGACCCAGGCTGTTCATCGTGAGTGAGTGAGTGAGTGAGAGAGGCTATGATGAAGGGCCAGAGGAAGGGCCAACTCAATGCTGGCGGGAGCACGGGGGAAGGAAAGGGAAGTGGGGGAGGGGGAGGAGCAAGGGAGAAGGACGGATGGGGACGAGCATGGCTCTGCGACTGTGCTTGGCATTCAAGGTCCCTGTGAGAGGGACATGGCTGGAGGAGGTGGTCCCATGGGGAACCAAGATGGAGCGCCCTCTGCTCTAGTTCCCCCGTGGTCAAGAGAAGGACACTGTGGCCCTCACAGCCAGTAAGTGTCTGATCTGGGATGTGAATCCAGTCTGTCTGACTCCAAAGCCTGTGCTTCTCATCATCATCCGGGATTCCTCCCTTTTTTGTCCTGGAAAAGAAAGGTCTTGGGGGGACCCAATCATGGGCTCCGACTATCCACAGAGCAGTGGTGGGGCAGAGGGAGCTGACAACTCTGTAGCTCTAGGCAGAGAGGGGACCTGTGTCCCATGGGGCAACTGTCAGAGGGAAGGGAGGAAGCTGGTATCAGTTAAGTGGCTTCGATGGGCCTCATTTAATCCCCAAACTGCCCGGGATTTCCACTGTCCTTGCGGGAAAGCTGAGGCTCAAACATGTCTGGGACTTGTCTAAGGGTTACAGAGGGGACAGGTGTCAGGTCAGGAGCTAACCGGCTCAGCCTGGCTCATTACCACACAGAAGTCCCTAAATTCAAGGGTATGGATTTCTTCTCAATAGAAAACGTTTTCAAATACTTAGACTCTAACATGGAACAAGGGACGGATGGTTTCCCCCACTGGACTCCAAGATCCACAGGGCAAGGGCCATGTCTACACAGCCAGAACACACCCTGGCACACAGAAAGAGGCAGATAAGGAGCTGCAGAATGAACGAATGTCACAGCAGGCAGTGAGCTCCCCATCACTACAGGTATGTAAGCAGAGGTAAAAAAAATCCTACCTAGATAAAGGGATTCAGGCATCTGTGGTGACTATCAGATTCTTCTGAGAACTTAAACCTGAACAATCCATTGCGTGGCTCTTAAATCCCTCTCAAAGATCCCCCTGGAGATCTAATCTTTTCTCTGTAGCCAAATTTCTCCCTTGCACTGCAGCACCAAAGTGAGGGGTTCTCAGTGGGGGTAAGAGATGGCTGATAATAAGGGAGAAGAGGAGAAGGGACTCTGAAGTTGGTTCACTTGTGCTCTATGCAGAGCAGAGGGACCTAGTGAGGTTCAGCCAAGGCCATGGGACACAAGCCATCTAGGCCCAGCAAACCCTGACAGGTAACAGCAGACTCTGCACTTTCCGGCCAGGCTCAGGGTTTCCTTACTCAGTGCCATTGGCTCTCTCTGGAATTCAGCCCTTAGCGGCCCCTCTATGGGCCAGGTCTGTTTGAGGCCTGGGATAGACCCCACTCCTGAGTGGAAGGACCCCTCTCCAGGCAAATGCTGCTTGAGACTCACAGGGGTCCTCCAAACACACCACGCTTCTCACACCTCTATCCTTTGCTTATGCTGTTCCCAATTCTGAAACACATTTCCTTCCTCCACCTGACAAACTCCCATCCTCCCTTCCAGGCTCAACTCAGGCATCATTTTCTCCGGGAAACATGAAACACTCAGCCAGCGTGCAGCAACATTCAATAGATTCCAGCTGCTGCCACTGCTGTTGTCCATCTTCTTTTTATTCCCTGGCTGACACTCCTGGATCCTCCTCTTTGCTTCCATGGCCCATGAGATTCTGTCCATGGCATTCTCATAACTCGATATTTACAACATGTGCTGAAGGTAGAACATGTGACTTTCACCTCTTGGTTTCTAGTGCCCAGCACATAGGAGGTGCTCAGTAAATGTCCGAAATAGAGAGTTTTCTTAGACACTTACTCAGAGCCCATTTACTATTACTTTGCACACAATTCTAACCAAGCCATCACTGAGAGTAACAAGAAATAACAGCTAAAAGTGAAGGAGCAGAGAGAAAAGTTACACCCAGCAGACAGAAGAACTTAAAGGCAAAACAACTCAGGGGTCGTAGGACTGGGGCAAAGAGCTACTTGTAGTTCAATGGCCACTGAGGTGGATGTTACTACCCCATAGGCTGGACATCCCCTTGCATTCCAGCTATGGCTGTGAACCATCAAAAATGCTACATTATATTCTGTCTTGTGCACAGTGAAGAAAGTGCTGGACTGGGGACACAGCCCTGGTTCCCTCCAGGCCTCTGCCACCAACCTTCTGGGAGATCTGGCCAAGTCAGCTCTTCCTTCTGGATCCATTTTCTCATGTGTTAGATAAGGCGGTTGAACAGTCTATTCCTAGTTTTAGGATGTTTAAGATGAGGACGTAGGTAATTAAATTTTGGCACCACTCCATTCAAAAATCATTGAAATAATAAATGAGAAATGGGCTGTGGTTTCCAAAGGTTGCGCTCTCAGCTTTCTGGAAAGCTCAGCTCCACAGAGTGATCCTCATCCTACAGGTTCGGCTCTGCTCTGGTCTCCCCGCCTCCCTTCCAGTTTCCTTGAATGCTGGTCCTAGAAAATTTCACAGAACTTAACAGTCCTGGAGCTTGGTGTGGGGGCCAGACACTTACCAGGAACAGGTGCCGTGGGCGTCTGTTTTTCCCCGTTACTTTCATCAGTGTCCCTTCCTTCAGAAACTCCTGTGGGGAGAGAAGCAGACCTTGATGATCAGGCTGATGCTCCCTACTCTCCTAGAGGAGGGTGGGGGTTGGCCCTTGAGTGGGAAACTTAAGTTACGATGCTTCCCAGAGGACCAGAAAGCAGCTCGTGGGGGAATCCCCAGCTTAAGAGAGATGCTCTGTGCATGTAACAGCAGTTCTGGAGACAGGTATCTCAGCCTTTCAGGAGTGTTCCACTTTGAATTACACCAAGCCCCAGACACTGTTCTGGCCACAGAGTGGTCCAAACAATGACTCTATCTCTGATTTGCTGCCATGGGAGTTCATTCAGAACAGAGCCTCTGAAGGTTTGCTGAAACAGCTGAAGACCTGTGAACAGGTGTTACATCCCCCTTAAATTCTGGAGGATACAAACAGATGCTTAATAAATATTTACTGAAATGATGACCCAGGCCAAAACACTAAGTGTGATTTTATAGACGCTCAGGCCAATGAGATCCCTGCTAATTTTGAGTAAATTCTCCTGAGCACGCTCTCTCATTTCTTTGTCCTTCATGAACTGTATCAGGTAATGAACACATTTTTGACTATTTTTGAGCTGAGTTTTATGTTTTCCATCTGGAGGCTTAAAAGTGGGCAAATTTGTCTCTTGGAAAATGTTATTTTTAAGATGCTTTGTTGGGGCTCTTGAGAGATGGTTTTCCTGATTTCCCAGCAATGCTGGACGAAACTAAAAATACTTGGTGTCTCTTTTTCTCAGAGGTGAAGAGAACCACAGCAAATGCTGAACCCAAATGGCACTGTTTCTTTAAAGGCCCTGAGAGTGGAAAACCCCAGAGGAGGCCCTGTGAACCTGGCCCTGCCCTCCCTCCTCCTCGGGTAAACAGCACCTGCAGCCAGGCCTGTCTGGGGCCAGCCCAGCTAAACAATGGGGCTTATCAGAGCCTCACCCGCCTGTTGCCAGGACGCCCTCTGCCCCTGCCCACAGTGGCGGTGGCACTCACCCTTCCTGGCTGGAGGAGATCCCCTTGGCCCCGAACGCTGTGCTCGATGTGGACCAGCTTCTGCAGGTTTTCCTGTGGGTGGGAGTAGGGCGACAGGGAGATGGTCAGGGCCCCTTCAAGGGGTCTTATCTCCTCTTAAATGGGTGGCATTGCTTCCGCTTCAGAGAGGGAAAATGGAGCCCAGAAAGACCTTGCCCGAAGTCTGACCTCCTGTCAGGGGCAGGTCTACAGGGTGCCAAGGATGTGGATTGCCCATAATCAGGCTAGTCCTTCTGGGCCTGGGGTCTGCACTGCCATCTTTCTGCATGCCATGAAGATGGTCTCTTGGCCTTGCTGTGCTGTCTGATACCTGTTTGTCTCCAGGCCACTGCTCCTCTTCTAAGCCCATGTCCCCCATAAGGTCTGCAGCATCCAGACTTTAGTAACCCAGAGATGACGGATGCCCAAGGCTGGACTGTCTCTCTGGGCTTACTGCCCAGAGTGTGGTCTCTGAGGAACAGTAACCAAGAAAATGCACCACTTGGGGAGAAAAATGGGTCTGTGTTCCTTGAAGAAAAGTTAAGTGTGCCTGAGAATTCCTTGATGGTCCCTCACTGGGTTATCCACAATATGTAAAGTGACACGCCTCCCTCCCCTCTGCACAGCACCCTGTAATACTAGAAATAACAAGCACCTAACCCAAGGGGCAGGTGCCCCTTGAATCTTACAGTGGGTCAGGTTCTAAAGTCAACTAATCAGATGAAAACTGTGTGTAGAGAAATCACCTTGAAATGACCTTTACACTGTCCATATTTTTGGGCATAAAATCCTACACATTGGAAATGTATAATAGTTGTTCCATTTCCATTTATGATACAGAAAGCTGCCAGAGCACAATGCCCCCACCATAACAGGGAGACAAAGCCAGAAAATCTACAAAATCGTAACCCTTCTTATGCCTATTGGAGAGTTGAGGTCACAAGGCAACCAACTGAATGAAATCCCAAAGACTGACAAGCCCCTCCACAGAGATACGAGACATACGAATGGTCATGCCTTTGGTAACACACAGGAGGAAGTGGTGGTCAGCATAAAGGAGGGTAAGAAGAAAGCATCTAAAATGTTAATGGATTCTTAAAGGTCAGACATGGGCTGGTGGGACAGTTTAGAATAACAGGGAGTCCCAGACACAAGGAATATCTACAGTCACTTGCAAGCTCTTTTTCAGAAGTTTCCACCAAGTGCTCCCACCAAGTGCTCCCAAGAAAGACGAGGGCAGGGCAGGGGCCAGGAAGAACCTCTGTCCTTGGTGGTGAAGCAAATGCTGTCTGCCCCAAGGAAAGCTGGGTGTAACCCGCTGGGACCAGGATTGTGCACCGATACAAAGCAGAAGCCTGTCCAAGACCCACCAGAGATACAAGGCAGAGTTTGGCTGCCATGCAGGAGGAAGGGCAGAAACGCTGAGAGAACCTTGCTCACAGGCCCTGCTTAAGTCTGAGGCTTGCCTGGCGAGCTAGGACTTATGAGCCTGGCACTGAGTGATGGGAAATAGTAGTCTGCCTCTGAGAAGGGCAAGAGCATGGAGAGAGATCCCTTCTGTGGGGCAAGGACAGCTAAAAGCTGAGGATGGAGCAGGAATGTAACAACCCTGTGGTACTTCAGGCCCCACAAACAGCTCCAAGTAACAAGAGCCCTCTTCTAGAGGAGAAGGAAGTCTGTGGGGCTCTGAAGGTGACAATGGTGACAACAAAACCCAAACCCAGTTCAACCACTAACTGTATTGACCCAACTCCCACCCCAACATGAACAGCATGACAAAAAAATTTAAAAAAAGAGGCACACTCACTTCTGGGGATAGATACTATTTCCCTCAGTCTCTATAGTTATTCTTCACGTAATGTCTGGTATTCAATCAAAAATTATGAGAAACACAGAAAAAGCAAGAAGAGCCCCAGCTCATTTTCAAGAAATAAAGCATTTAACAAAATCAGAATGGGAGGTGACACAGAGGTGGGAACCATGAGACAGGGACTTTAGATTAACTATGATTAATATGTTGAAGGAGCTAGTACAAAAGGTGGGGAGTGTATACGAACAGACGGAGAACTTCAGCAGAGATGAAAACGATACAAGAGCAAATGGAAATGTTAAAAACAAAAAAACATGATATAACAAATGAAGAATTCCTTTGACAGGCTTAGCAGCAAACTGAACACAGCTGAGGAAAGAATCAGTGAACTTGGAGATAGGTAAGCAGAGATTAACCAAACTGAAACACAAAGGAAAAAAAGGGCGGAGAACAAATCATCCAAGAGAATTGTCTCAAATTAACGAATTGACAACAAACCACAGATCCAGGAAGCTTGACAATCACAAGATAATTATCACCCAAGCCCCTAAAACCACACATCATAATCGAAAAGTCAAATGTAAAGAGAAGATCTTCAAGACAGCCAGAAAAAAGAGACATTACATAAGAAAGATAATCATATACAGCATATCCCTTATCAGAAACTATGTCGGCCATAAGACAGTGGAGTGGCATCTTTAAGGTACTGGAAGGAAAAACTGGTCAACCCAGATTTCTGTACCCAGGAAAAATATCTTTCAAGAATTATGGTAAATTGGCCTATTAAGTAAGTGGACGATGGATGGTGGGAGCCAGATTTCTCACTGTTGGAGTGGAAATTTATGGATAACCACTGGGATGATCCATGTGGTAAAAATTAGAGTTGGAGACATCAGTAAGAATTCATATTTAGCTTAATATATAGAGAGATGGTTATGTACAGAAATGTGTATATGTATATGTGTATATGTATATGTATATACATGGGTTGACCTTTGAACAACACAGGTCTGAATTGCACGGGTCCACTCACACACAGGTTTTGTTTTTTTTAATTGACTGCAGTTCAATTGATCCACATAGTTTAAAGCCAAGTTGTTCAAGGGTGAACTCCAAGACTGTGAATCTGCATATGTGGAAGGCATGACTGTAGTTATATATGGATTTTCGATTGAACAGGCGGTCAGAGTCCCTAACCCCTGTGTTGTTAAAGAGTTAATTGGATATATATATATATATATATCTTTGCTCTGTTAGCTAAGATTACCTAAAAGAAATGCTAACCTAGTAGCAATGAGCACACCTAGTGCCCAGATCTTGTTTTCTAATACCATTAAACGATTAAAGAAACCAGGGTTCCTTGGAGAAATGTATGATTCTTAGACTAGGGCAGGAAATATACTAGATGAGCCTGGAGCGTCTTATAGTGCCAGAAAGTAAGGAAGTACTAAATAAAAATAAACAAACAAAAAAAACACTCAAACCTATATGCCTGGGGGCATACGAAAGGGATATAAGAACCAACTGAAAGGGCTCCCAATAGCCAATACTGGAACAATTTGAGAAATAAAATAAAGCAGTATGAGATTATAACCCAAAGCATACAGTAAATATCTATGAGTCTTTACTGACATAAATGATTTATTTATTTATAATGATTACAATACGAAATGAGGGAAAAGAGAAAAATCTCTCATGCAGAAGAATTCCAAATAATTTAGGTAGATACGCTGCCTTCAAGGAGAGTTAACGTGACTTCCCATTCCTTAAATGTGGTCTGTACAGAGTGATTTTCTTCTGAAGAGTATGGACAAAGGGTGTGTGTGTGTGTGTGTGTGTGTGTGTGTGTGTGTGTGTGTGCGTGCGTGCGCGCGCATATAACTTTACTGTGGAGAAACCGGACAAACACTAACTCAGCCAGATGATCAAGGTCAACATCAACAGTCATAAAGCATGTTGCTAGTATATACCTTTCAAATGATGTTATGAAAGTGGTACTTTATTTCTATGATCTTCTTCCCCTGAAATCACAAACCCAGTCTAATCATGAGGAAAATATCAGACAAATTCCAATAGAGGGACATCCTACAATATACCTGACTATAGTATTCCTCAAAAGTGACAAGATCATTAAAAACAAGGAAAAGTCTGAGAAACTGTCACAGTCAAGAGGAACGTAAGGGGATATGACAACTAAATGAAATATGATATCCTGGATGGGAACCTGGAACAAGACATTAGGCAAAAAGTAAGGAAATCTGAAAGAACCTTTACTGAAAGAGTCTTTAGTCAGTAATATGGTATCAATATTGGTTCTTTAATGCAACAAATGTACCATACTAATATGTTAATAAGAGAAACTGTACAGGGGATACATAAGAACTCTCTGTATTACCTTCTCGATTTTTCCTGTAAATCTGAAATTGTTCTAAAAAATAAAGTCTATTCAGAAAGTAGGATGGTGGTTGCCAGGGGCGAGGGGAGGGGAGAACGGAGAGTTAGTGTTTAAGAGGGACAGAGTTTCCTTTGGAGACAGTTAAAAAGTTCTGGAGCTAGATGGTAATGATGGTTGCACAGCAATATGAACATACTTAATGCCACTGAACTGTGTGCTTAAAAATGGTCAACATACTACATTTTTTTGTTATGGCTAGTTTACCTCAGTAAAAGATTTTAAAAAAATAAAGTTTATTTTTAAAAATAAAGGTGAAAATGGTAGAGTCCAGCCTTGCACGTGTCCTCACTCTCTTCTGCAGCAAGATATTTTACTTCTATGCTGTGAAGACAGCAATCAACGGCCAATTTGATTTCAAGTCTCAAAAGCCTGACCTTGCAACCAGATGTTTTTTCTCCTAAGGATTTTCCTGAGATTGATCTAGTACCAG